CCACCAATTTTTTGAGCAAGCTCCATACTGTTTTCCATAGTGGCTGCACCAATGTACATTGCCACCAACAGTGTATGAGGGTTCCCTTTTCTCCACATCCTGTCCAACATTTGTTATTTTCTTGGTGATATCTGAAGCACAAAGGTTAATTTTGATGATGTTCAACTTACTTATTTTCTCTTGTGTTGCTTGTGCTGTTTTTGTCCGTATTCTTCCTTTATTGCCTTCTTCTGTATTAAGTGTATATGTTCTAGTATAACATTTTGATTCCTTTAATGTTTTAAGTATATTTTGGGGAGTTATTTTCTTAGTGGTTGTTCTAGGATTTACAATCTTAACATTAGAATTTACTTCATATTAACACTGATTAGTTGCAATGAACTATAGAATCTTTACTCCTATATATAGCTCCTTTCTATATATCCTATATATATATATATATATCTAAGATATACTCCTATATATATCTTACCTTTTTGTACTATTATTGTTATACATAGTGCATCTGTTACAAACTCAAAAATACAGTTATAATTATTACTTTATATGATAATCTTTATATTTTGTTGCTAGAGTTTCATTTTTTTTGATCTTATATTTTTTAAAAGAGCTGATAAGAGGGCAGGTATATATTCATAGTTTGCTATATTATTCAACTTATACACCATTTCTGGCTCTCTTCATTTGTTCTTGTGGATTCTATATAGATATCATTGGTATTATTTCCTTACTCTAAGACAGCTTTGTTTCCACCCTCAACAAAAAGATAATACATATACTATTTTGTGTAGTTGCTTTCTAAATTAAGAGAGGTTTTTAAGGCTCTGAAAAAAGGAGAGGAAACATCAAATTATAGTTTTATAAGTACCTACATGACAGTCTTCATTGGTGCTCTTTGAGTTTTGTGTGGATTTGAATTACTGTCTGGTGTCATTTGCTTTTTGACTGAAGAATTCCTTTGTAGTTCTTATAATACAAGTCTACTAGCAGTGGATTTCTTTTTATTTACCTGGTAACATCTTTGTTTCACCTTAATTTTTGAATGACAGTTTTCGATATAATATTCTTGGTTGATAGTTTAATTTCAACATCTTGAGTATGCTCCGTCTTCTGGCTTTCACTGTTCCTGATGAGACTTCACCTATTAATCATATTGCAATTTCCCTGTATGGGATGAGTCAGTTTTCTCTTACTGCTTTCATGATTTTCTTCTTGTCTTTAACTTTCAACATTTGACTATTATATGTCTGGGTGTGGAACTCTGTGTTTACCCTACTTGGCATTTGTTGAGCTTCTTTGATGTGCAGTTTTTCATCAAATTCAGGCATTTCCATCCATCTCTGAGTATTTTATCTTCTGATCCTTTTACCTCCTCTGGTACTACCATTATGCATATGTTGGTATGCCTAATGGTGTCCTACATCTCTCCAGTGTTATTTTACTTTATATTTTGTTGTTCAGGCTGCATCAACCCCCATCTTCAAGTTCACAATTCTTTCTTCAGCCAAATCAAATGTACTATTCAGCTCCTTTAAATTTCTCATTAATGTACTTCTCAACTCCAGAATTTTAAAAAATAATTTTGATTTCTTTATTAAATATTTCTTTTTCTGCTACATTCACCATCTAGACTCTTTCTAAGGCAGTTTTTATTGCCTGATTTTTTCCCTGTAATGGGTGACTATTTCATTTCTTTGCATGTCTTGTAATTTTTTATGAACTGGACATTTTTTATAGTATCTTGTATCAGCTCCGCATGATTCACCTCCTCTGGGGGATAATTTTCTTGGTTAATTCCCTTGTAGTATGCAGCCTGATGTTCTGTATTTTAGTCTAGCTACCTAAGGGTTGTTCCTGGGCCAGCATAAGGCAGTTACTGGTAAGATTTTTACCATCTCTTATTAGATATCTGTGTTTGGAGGGTGCTATCATGGTTCATGGGTTTTACTTTTTATCCATATCCAGCCAGGGACTAGTAGCTTGGAGGTTCCTTCTCTGTTTTGAGGGCATAGTCTTGATCAGTCTTACAGATAGCCAAGGCTGAGTGTGATTTTATTTTTAAGCCTGTATTTTTACGAATCACCTCTAGGTCAGAGCAATTTATTTTGTAGTCAGTGTTTGGTCAAGTTCCTTGTGTTAGTGAAGCTTTGCCCCTGTGTTGATGGGTCTGCATGTATTGGGAAATGCTTTTATATCTGTCCCACATTATGCTCTGATTGTCTTGAGTGGGTGCATCCCAGCACATGTGCACAGCTTTTTTAATCCCACAGTTGACTGTGCTCTCAGGAGGGCTCTTCTTGCCTCCCTCTTGGTTTTTATTAAACTTTCTGGCTGCTTTACTACTTTGCCTAACTGCTCTCCAGGAAGATCCCCGTTGTTTTTGACAATGCCCTTAGGGATGGAGTTCTCCATGTTGTTTCAAAAGCAGTCAGTCCCCTCTGGCAGAGTGGCAGAATTCTTTATCCTCATTGCATGCTTTCCCTTGGGAAAGAACCTCTGCACAGTGAACTGGAGCTAGGGTCAGGGGGCCCAGAGTGAAATCACTACTCTATGAGTAGGCATTAGGGCATGGTGGTAGTCCCTAGTATTCCCAAATTTTCCTTTCCTTGAATGAAAGTAAGCTGGGGTGGAAAAAAATGAAGGCCCCAGCATTCTCAGCCTGCACATGAAGTAGTGATTTTACTTTAAGAGTGGGGGCTGGGTGGTGGAAGAGATCTCTAGTAGTTTTGGCTGTGGCTGCCTGGAATTGTTTCTGCAACACAGGATTGTGGGGATGAGAAATGTAGACAGCTACCTCTGCCAGGGTGAAACCATAGCCCCAAAGTGGGAACTGGGGGAAGAGAGCAGCCTACCTCCCCTCAGCACTTCACCACACCTGTTCAGAACAGAGCACCCAGGGTAGAGCTTCTTTAATATAGACTTGGTGGGGTGGAGGATATGCAGGTAATTTCTCAAATACCATAGACTCTTGATGTTCTTACCAAAATTTAATAGGTTTTCTTGAATGAATGTTTTCCCATTTTCTATATGCCCTTGGACAGTTCTAGATGTTAAATGACTTAAAAAAAATAACTTTTACCAGTTGTTGTTTTGCTACAGAGGGTCTTTTGAGCTTCTACTTCAGAATTCTGGAAATATCACCCTTAAATTTATTTTTGAATGTAACAGAGTGGAAATGTGTTCCAGCAAAAAGAGAAATGGATTGGGTGTCAGCAGCCAGGGTTTTCAAATGAACTTGGCTTCTAGCAAGCTCAATGACTTATCTTGAAATTCAGGTTCATCATTTGCAGAATGAGGAAACTGTATTAAAGGACCCCTAAATTTCTTCCAACTCTAAAATCCTTATGGTTTTATGAAATAGAAAACCCTCAGTGCAAAACATTCTACTGTAGCTGTGTGAGAACAGGAAATAGGGAAATAATCCACTGCCTTTTTTACCCCAAAATGTTCTAACCTGCTTTTACGAGAATATGCACATCATTTTCAACTTTGTCAAATCAAAATGTTAGTTTAATGCACGGTTTGCAGTCAAGATATTTCTCCACCCCAACTGTTCACTTCATCATTTGAACTGAGAAAGTGGGAACAATAGAGAGTTACCTTTCACTGATTGGTCATCAAAAGTGTGACAGCTTAATGCCTAGTGAAAGCACTATAATTTGCTACCATTTTACCCATGTTATGAGCTCTGCAAACAATCATTTTCTCTCTGAGACAATTCCAAGTTTTCACCTTCTGCATAAGGCTCTAAGGTCATACTCCCAAAGCGTCTATTAATTATCTGTACTTATTCTGAGTGTGTGGATGGCAAAAATGTCAGTTCTCACTACGCATTGCAGAGAAGAGTTGCTTCCATGTGATAACCATTTCTAGTGACAAAGACATATTGTTTGTTTAGTAATAATCATCAGCACAAATTGCTGTAACAGTAAAACTATGTCAAGGGCCTCCCCCATTGAGTTATTTTGTCTTAACTAATCAGTTTTACCCAGATTATTTGACTTAATATTGTTATTTACTATATAGTTTACATTCAAAATCTATATGCTCAAAGCAGAGAGAGAAAGGATCTTTTTATGATTTACGAAAGCTGCCACTGACAACATATTTAAATGCTTTCAAATACTAATCCACAACAGAATATCCTATGAAAAAGCTACAAGGTTAAGAGAATTTTGAATATACACTGGCAAAAGTTGCTATTCACTGACACACCCAGCAATTAATTAAGAAGGATAGGAGCAAGATGGCAGTATGGGCAAAGTGATCCAAAAAATGGAATCATATCATCTTTATCTTGCTTTTAAGCAAAGTATTTTTGTACTAGTCACCTTCACAAACTAAGCTTTGTCAACATCTAGGAGGAAAAGGCAAAACATTTACCTTATGGTATATAAAAGGTGAAAATTCCTGCGTAGGAAAACCAAATGCATATTTTGGGTTTGTTCAAATGCTAAGGCCTCTTTCTGATTCTCACAAGTGACCCTAAGACTTGAGTTGTTCAAAAATTCCAAATGATCCCATATGTTCACCAAGATATTTCTATGTTAAAATCCTTCAGGAAGGCATCTGGCCCAGTTTTTATGATCCCAAATTACCCTGGTTTCAATTTAATTTTTGTAAACTGGGATTCCCTTAGGAAGAAAGTAAAATTTTCAATCTTTAAAATACAGGGATGTAAGAAAGAAAAGCCTATCGTTTTGCTTGATTTTCAGAGCTAATATTCCAAAACTGTAGCTTATTCATCACAATATATTAAAGAAACATGTTGTAACATTAATTTGGAAATTTGTATACTTTATACTTTTGTGTATGTAGCATTGTAATGCAAAGTTAATACATTATAATAAATGCCCTTCTTGGCATTTCTTCTGAATCATCCTGGGAAGCTTTTCTTTCACGTTAATTTGTCTGTTATTTCACTATATAGAACCACATTAACATGAAAAAGTTAAAAGAAAAATATTTAAGACTTAGTTATGGCCCCTACAACAACTTGCTTTTCAGGTAATTTAAGTTTTTATTATCTGAAAATACTGGTTAATGACCACAATGACCCAAAGTCTAGAACCCACCTCCAATCCTATGAAAAGAAAATAGTTTCTTCACAAAGAAAAGCTATTCAAATTGAGAAAAAGAAGAGCTTTCTAAGTAAATATATACCAACATTTTATTAATTTTTTTTCTAGCAAGTAAAACTTGGCTATTTTGTTTGGGTTCCTCCCTGTTATGTCAAACTTAAAGGAACTCATTAAAATACTGAAAAAGAAGTAGAGACCTTGTAATTCTGAAGTGTCAACACAGATTAGAATCCTGTTCATATAAAGAATATATATACATATTCCTCCCTGCCATTTACCTAAAGGTCACTAATAAGTTTAAGTGGATAATGACTTACACACATGTGTGAATGTCTGCACACACACATGCATGCATGCACACATTCCATTTAGTTGTTTCTTTGTATAACTTCAGGTAGTAAAAGCAGTGCAGTTAAGATGGAAATTGAGAAGGCAATTAACTTCCTAAGCTTTTTAGATCACACCCAGTATGGCAACTCTCAAATTACATGAGGGTTTGTAAGTCTTTAAAGAGAAATGGTTAAATTTTGCTCCAAAACAAAAGTAACATCTCATTTTGGTGGAAAAATAAAATTCCCACTGGTAGATGATAGTTATAATGCTGGTTAATGATGAAGAACATTCTACATAACATGAGGATTAAAGTTTTTCCTTCAAAAGATAATACAGTGGCAAAAACTTTTAGAAGTATAGGTACCTATTATTGAAGTATTTCAGTGGGGGAAAGGAAGGAGAAACAATGAACCTACGTTGTCCTTTTTTTTACTTTTAAGAAACAGACACTTGCTAAATTGTCAACATAAAAGAGGTTCTAAAAACTACAATCTGATTCACCTGGTTGTGGATATCAAATAGGTATCAGGCCTCAAAAATGGAAATGGGATAAAGTTAAATAGTAATGAAATTTATGCTTTGAGTACACCTTAGGCAGTTAACAAGAAAGTAATTTGGAGATGAATATAGATACATCAAAAAGACTGTGAAAGATATAAAACTCAAATCCCCTTTCAAATAAATCTTATCAAAAAGAAGGATTATTGGAAATGGGAATGTATTTTTTTAAATAAAACAATTCTGCTTCAGTGAAAATGTGCAGTTAAAAAAAAAGAAAGAACAGAAAATGTCTAATATGACTAGCATGAACAGTTTCCACAGCCTTTCACACTGTTGATAATTTCTTCGTGTAGTTTCTTCCTTTCCTCTTCTTTGGCTGCATTTTCTTTCTTTGCGTCCCATTTGGGGTCTTCATGGTTCTGCACACGGCTGCTCTGTGTATGCCACATTTCTGAATAGACACTGCCAGAGTTAGCAAGCAAACTATGGTGGGTACCACGTTCAGCTATCTTACCCTAAAAAGCAAAAACAAGAGAACACAGAGAAAGGTCATATAACTAGCATAACTGAAAACACACAACACTTTCTAACTAACGATTTTGAAGGATTTGCATTTATTAAAATATCTCTCCCAATTCCTCATCCATAGTAGAAGTGGAAAAATTGAGGTAGGAACGCTTTCTTTACTATTGAACTATCAGTCCATTGAACAAAAAAGCTATAAAATTCCATATACTGTAAACCATTTTACTTAAAGGAAATACAATTTTAATGTTTTATTTTTCATTTTGAAGGGCAGAAAAGGTGGAACATTTTTAAAGGTGATATTTCCTATAATCAGCAAATATTTAATTGAAAGAACTGCTATTTATACAGGGATTTAAAAATAATATCCTGAAATCCTTATGTGTACTTTTAAATAAAAAAGATTTCCCCATGAAAAGTTCACTTCTTCCAGTAGCTGTTTTTGTTAACAATGGCTATTAGACTTAACACTGCATAAATTTGGTAGATTCCAAACTCTTATCTACAGTTAATTAGTCTCTTGACAGGTATTGTTATACATACTGGGAGACAAAAGGAATTTTATCACTTTTATTGGTACTCCTGGTGATTGAACCTTTACAAAATAAACCCTTAAGCAAAATAACTGAAATTTGTGCCCACTTCTGAGTGGTTACTTTAAGTCTCCTCCTTGATTGCTGGCTGGGCAATCTAAGAAAGAACTATTTTACTCAGTTATTTGTATTCCTCTGAATCCTGAAGAATGTGGTCCTCAACCTTGGTATGTGTGGACCACTTCAGTGCACAAAGTACCTATGGATTATATATTTCATATGTTCCTATTGACTATTGTCAGAACAAAAAATTCTGAATGAAAAACTCATCAAAAACTATTAGAAAGGATGGCATTATTTTTGTAGACACACCAATGAAATAAGTCACAAATAATTTATCCTGCAATAAAATGGATAAAATATATTTTAAATTATTTATATTTGTATTAAAGCACAAATGTACATAGGTTAAAAAGTCAAGTAATATTACAAAGCTTATAATAAAAAGAACTGCCTTTTGATCCTTCTTCTCCAGCCTTGAATATCTCCTTCCAATCTCCAAATTCATAGCTATTTCTTCTGGTATTTATAGACACACACATATATTCATATACATATACCATGCGCACACACACACGAAACTCAGCACTCTTATACCATCCCACATTCCCATTGCCTCATCTTTACTCTAACACTGGTTATATCGCAGATGTTGTTTAAGTTAATAGTCAGTATTTACCTTATGACTATGTAAGAATTACCTGTTGAGCCATGAAGGTATGAGGATTTTATATGTATATTTTCTCATATAACATTTTATTCTTCCTGGATTTAGTAATTGCATTCTATTTCCACTTGCTTAGTTTTCTAGATCACTACTGGTAGTTCTCTCTAAACTTTTGCTCCAGAATTATAAAACCTGCCTTGACACTATTTTAATTTTTCTCATAATTAACTATATTAGGTAACTTATCAGTTCAGTTCTGCCCTCCCCACCAACCTGGAGATATTCCTCTCAGTTTTTAGGTTTTTTCTTTATCTTCAATTCTGAAATTTTATGATAATGTATCTTAAGTGTGCTTTTTCTCCCTCTCTTTCCATTTGTTGTGGTGGGTACTTGGTAGGCCCTTCCATTCTGGAAACTTATGCTGTGACGTTCTGGACATTTTTGGGGTGTTATTTCTTTGATAATTTCCTCCCCTTATCCTAACCAGTCTTTCTAGAACTACCACGAATTGGATGTTGGCCTTCTTACACTAATTTTCTCATTTTTTTAATCTTTTCTCTATTTCCCTTCTCTTTGTGTTCTACTGTTTGGAGACTTCCTTGACTATTTCAGCAAGAACATTTTTCATTTCCAAAAATCTCTTGTTCTCTGGTTGTTCCTTGATTTATTACCACCATTTACAATTTTGTTGCAAGAATAACAATGAACACCTTACATATGCTTCTCTTATTTTGGCAACTGGTAGTTTTTCCACATTTACTTTCCCTCACTTCATCCTCTCTTGAAATTTACACTATTTTTTGCTAAATCATTTGAGAATGAGTTGTGCACATTATTACATTTCACCCCTATGTATTTCAGTTGGATATATCTCTGAAAAACAAGGACATTCTTCTACATGACTGGAATACAACTATATCATGAGCGAATTTACCTAACATATGTTCCCTATTCAGATTTCACCAACTGTCCCAATAATGTCCTTAATATATGTATATATATATTTCCATCCTGGATCTGATTAGGATCAACACATTGCTTTATAAGTTTCCTAGTCCTGTGAGTGTCTATGACATTAACATTTCTAAAATGTCCAGGCTTGCTTTTTAAAGAATGTCCTTCAAATTTTATTTGTCTAGTTGACATTTTTGGTAGAAATCCTTGGTGCATCACATCAGGAGGTACATGATGCCAGTTTGTGCTATAATTAATGATACTAAATTTAATCATTTGGTTAAGATGATCAAAAGTGTCTAACAGATTTCTCTGTTTTAAAGGCACTCTTTTGTTTTGTAATTAATAATAATCCATGGGTTATACTTTCAAACTGTATGAACATTCTACTCCCCAAGAGTTGTTCACCATATGGTTTTAGCAACCAATGATAATCCTTACCTGAATCAATTATTACAACGGTGGTTGCAAAATGTGATTTTTCTAAATGTATCATTCCTATTACATGTATTAGCTGGCATTCTAGAATTTTCTATTTTCCCATACTTTTAAAAAATAAGTATCATTATGGAATTGTAGATTAGTTTTAAAATACAATATGTTGTTTTTCATTAGTATCATTATTCTTTGTGATGTTCAAATTATCCAACATTTGGCCCAGTGGAAGCCCATTCAAGATGGTTCCTGTGTCCTTGTGATACTAACTTCATTGGTTTTCCTGCCCAGATATGGAATCAATTATTTCTTAAAGGTATCTTGGTTCCTTTTAGTGAACAGTGTTTAGTATTTAAGGTTAGGTGCTAGTAATTTTTTTTCATCAGGAATTCATATTTTTCATATTGATTATTCTGTTCTAATATAATATCACAAAGTTCCTCCTCCTCTTTTCCCATTCCACACTATCTTTCTTCTCCCAAGAAAGAATCTCTGTCTCCAAACATCAATATATTTACTTACAAGTTCAGACTTACAATATATACAAAATAGTTTCAAAATGGCTACTCTCACGCTACTACCAACAACAAACTTACTAACTTCAGATTTTCTTTAAGATATTTTTGTCCTTATATTATATTCCACTAAAGGTAAATAATCAGAGTATAGTGTTCAAAAGTTACTTGAGAGGTGGAGCCAAGATGGCGGCATGAGTAGAGCAGCGGAAATCTCCTCCCAAAACCACATATACCTATGAAAATATAACAAAGACAACTCTTCATAAAATAGAGACCAGAGGACACAGGACAACATCCAGACCACATCCACACCTGTGAGAACCCAGCGCCTTACAAAGGGGGAGAGGAAGGCCACAAACCAACAAGAAGGAAAGCTCTTCCAGCCGTCACTTGTACCAGCTATGCAAACTATCTCTATCACCATGAAAAGCTGACATAGAGAGAGATAAAAGGATCTGCAGGAATGAAACAATACTAAGAGAACTGTATGACCAATCCAAAAGGTACAATATCTGTATTATAGGGGTACCAGAAGAAGAGAGAGGAAAAGGGATAGAAAGTGTCTTTGAAGAAATAATTGCTGAAAACTTCCCCAAACTGGGGGAGAAAATAATCGAACAGACCACAGAAATACACAGAACCCCAAACAGAAAGGATCCAAGGAGGACAACACCAAGACACATAATAATTAAAATGTGGATTAAACAATTCCCAGACATGCAAAAGCTGAGGGAATTTGCTTCCCACAAATCACCTCTACAGGGCATCTTACAGGGACTGCTCTAGATGGGAGCACTCCTAAAAAGAGCACAGAACAAAACATCCAACATATGAAGAAAGGAGGAGGAGGAATAAGGGAGAGAAGAAAAGAACCTCCAGACAGTGTATATTACAGCTCAATAAGTGACCTAAGGTAGGCAGTAAGATACTAAAGAAGCTAACCTTGAACCTTTGGTAACCACGAATCTAAAGCCTGCAATGGCAGTAAGTCATATCTCTCAATAGTCACCCTAAATATAAATGGACTTAATGCACCAATCAAAAGACACAGAGTAATAGAATGGATAAAAAAGCAAGACCCATCTATATGCTGCTTACAAGAAACTCACCTCAAACACAAAGACATGCACAGACTAAAACTCAAGGGACGGAAAAACACATTTCAGGGAAACAACGAGAAGAAAGCAGGGCTTGCAGTACTAATATCAGACAAAATAGACTTCAAAACAAAGAAAGTAAAAAAGAGATAAAGAAGGATACTACATAATGATTAAGGGCTCAGTCCAACAAGAGGATATAAACATTCTAAATATATATGGACCCAACACAGGAGAACCAGCATATGTGAAACAAATACTAACAGAACTAAAAGGGAAAATAGACTGCAATGCATTCATTTTAAGAGACTTCAACATGCTACTCACCCCAAAGGATAGATCCACCAAACAGAAAATAAGTAAGGACACGGAGACACTGAACAACACACTAGAACAGATGGACCTAATAGACATCTATAGAACTCTATATCCAAAAGCAACAGGATATACATTCTTCTCAAGTGCACATGGAACATTCTCCAGAATAGGGCACATACTAGCTCACAAAAAGAGCCTCAGTAAATTCGAAAATATTGAAATTCTACCAACCAATCTTCAGACCACAAAGGTATAAAACCAGAAATAAATTCTACAAAGAAAACAAAAAGGCTCACAAACACATGGAGGCTTAACAACATGCCTCTAAATAATCAATGGATCAACGAACAAATCAAAATAGAGATCAAGGAATATACAGAAACAAATGACAACAACACTAAGCCCCAA